AGCGTGCACGAGGGAGTGAGGCACAATGAGCTCAGCGTGCACGAGGGCAGCTGTTTGTGTAATACTCTGACAGTTTGTTCTTTGTCAAACTCTTTCTGCTCCTCCTCTTCTACCATTCTTCTTCTGCTGTACTTTTAAAATTATTTACATTTAAATTATTCAAATTATTCAAATTATTTACATTTAAATTATGTGCACTATTTATTTACATTATTTACATTACAATTCCTCATTAATATGTAGTAGAACCTGAACTTAAAAAAACAAACCAACGTTTTCTTTGAAATCTGCTTCCGCGTGTTTGTGCGTCTCCTTATATTCCTCTCTCCAGGGTTTAATTAGAACTGGATCTTGCCGGAGCAAACTCTGGGAACTCTTATTTTGTCAGGGTGTGTTGCACCTCCGCTGCTGTTTTTATGACGCTCTGGACACTCGTCACCCACAGCATGCATGCAACAAAGAGTAAAGTCAAAGCGAGATGATACCTGCCCCCCCTTCCCTCTTTCTAGTTGATATGTTTTAGTTTGATCTATGAGTTTGTCAATGCACAATTTAGATTTTTTTTTTTTTTTTTTTTTTGGTAAATACAGAAATAATGTTTAATGTTAAGACTCTATTCTTTGCTAACAAAATATATTTTGTCATTAAACAACTTGTCAGGTTCTTGTCTTATGAACATGCACATTCCCCAGGAACCCCCCCCCCCCCCAGCCAGTCCGCCCACTATTTGCTTTCCAGCATCGATCGGTCTACAAAGTAAGCCCTGCCTGTCTCCTCTCTTCAGTCCTCTCTCTGTCATATTTCTTCTTGGCTAACCTCTTTCGTTGAACATCTTCCTGCACTTCACTATTCCACCACCAGGTTTCCTGATCATCCATTCTCTGTCCAGGTGACACACCAAGTACCTTCCTACCTGTCTCTCTAATTACTGTTGCTGTAGTAGTCCAGTCATCTGGAAGCTCTTTCTTACCACCCAGAGCCTTTAACAGCTCCTCTCTGAATTTCTCACAACACCCTTCTTTGATACTGATGCATGCTCAATAATCCAGGTAGAAAAATCTAAGAAAGTTGAGTCAGGCCATCTGCATGGATTCAAAACATAAAAATAAATACACTTATTTAGTTTAATTTAGTCTTTAATCCAAAAAACATTCAGTCTGAGGAGCTGATTTATGTTAGGACTATTATTGTCCTGTTGAGTTCTCTGAATTGTCAAAAATAATAGCTTCATCCAAACCATCCACATGTTCAGTTCAATTCAATTCAGTTTATTTCAATAACACCAATCACAACAAAGTTGTCTCAGGACACTTTACAGGAACATTAACATAAAAGCCAATTAGTAAAGTTTTCTATCTAAGGAAGCAGCACACAAGTTGAATCTTGGCTTGTCATCATTTTTAGATCAGATGTTTCTAATGTTAGTGATATTACGCAGGTGGAAGAAGGAGGTTCTAGTAACGTTTTTAATGTGGGGGATAAAAGACATGTCCTGATCAAAAATAACACCAAGATTTTTAACATTAGAGCTGGAGGACAGATTAATGCATCTAAGGAGGGAGAAAGACTGAAACATTCATTCCTAAGGTGCTCAGGTCCAAAAACTAAAACCTCAGTCTTGTCTGTTCAACAGGAGAAAATTAAGGGTCATCCAGGTTTTTATGTCTTTAAGACATGCTTGTAGTCTAAGTAGCTGATTGGATTCATTGGGTTTAATGGACAAATATAATTGTGTGTCATCAGCATAACAATGAAAATTTATCCCATGTTGTTTAATAACTTTACCTAATGGAAGCATATATAAAGTAAAGAGTATTGGCCCAAGGACTGAGCCCTGAGGAACTCCATGACTAACTTTGGTGTATGAAGATTTATTATTTACAACCTGGAATCTATCAGATAGATATGATTTAAACCATTTTAGAGCTGTTCCTGTAATCCCAACATCATATTCAAGCCTCTGTAGTAAAATATTGTGATCATCTGTATCAAACGCAGCACTGAGGTCTAACAGGACCAGTAGAGACACAAGTCCATTGTCTGAGGCCATGAGAATATCATTAGTGACTTTTACTAGTGCTGTTTCTGTGCTATGATGAGCTCTAAACCCTGACTGAAACTCTTCAAACAGATTATTTCTTTGTAGATGTTCACACAACTGACCTGCAACTATTTTCTCTAGGATTGTTAGATGAAAGTTAGATTAGATATAGGTCTATAGTTGGCCAGAGTTTCTGAATCAAGGTCAGACTTCTTAAGTAAAGATTTAATTACAGCAACCTTAAAGCGCTGTGGTACATAACCATCCATTAAAGACAAATTAAGTAGATCCAAAATGTGGACATTAATTAGGGGAAATACCTCTTTAAACAGTCTGGTTGGGATGGGATCTAGCAGACATGTGGATGGGATCTAGCAGGCATGTGGATGGTTTGGATGAGGTTATTATTTTTGACAATTCAGAGCTCAACAAGACAAAAACTGTCCAAACATAAATCAGGCTCTAGTGAAATCCAAAAAAGTTCAATCTGGTCCTCTGGACATTGTTTTTTTTTTTTCAATGTCCAGAGGACCAGATTGAACTTTTTTGGATTTTTCTACCTGGATTATTGAGCATGCATCAGGATGCTCTAGTGAAATGTTTAAAGTTGTCTCATTTGACATGGGACTAGAGAAAGTAGAAGGAAGGATGGTTTGAAATTTCTCTCTAATTGAAATAATTTTATTTATAAAGAATCTCATGAAGACTTCCGGTTATGGCGCCGAGGTGAGCAGACGCATTTAACCAGAGCTCCCAACTCGGTCGGCTAAATCCCCTCTGCCAGAGTTGAATTAACTCTCTTAAACTGATTATTTTATGATGAAAAGGGGAAAGGCAACAAAAAATAACGGTAAATCAAAACAGACACAAGAGACAGACGAGAAAACTTTTAAAGCATTATTCGACGAAGGCGAATCTGACCAGCACATGACTATGGAAGGGCTACAAGCTAGCATCGGCGCTATCCACAAAGAGATCCTAGCTATCCGTGCAGACGTGAAGGAGGAGCTGTGCTGCTTTCGTGACGACTTCTCCGCTGGCATGAAGAGATTTAAGAAGGTTTCAAGAGGAGATTAATGGAAAACTTAACAATTTTGTGTCGGACATTAAAGAGAATCAAAAGAGAGCAGAGGAGTCGCTGCAACGCGTGGCAGAAATGGAGGAGTGGACTGCAGCGGCGAAAGAGGTGCTGTCTCAAACTATAAACAACCAAGATAAAATTCAAGCCAAACTAACTGATTTAGAAGCACGCTCACCTAGAAACAACATATGTGTGTAAAGGATTCCAGAGGATACAGAGGGAGACAATTTGTTGGAATTTATGGACGATTTCATTAAGGCTGAGCTGCCACTCCAGGATATTGATCTAGCTATACAATGCTGCCACCGGGCTTTGGGTCCCAAACCACCGCAGAATGCGAGCCCCCGCTCCGTGGTGATCTCCTTTCTGGCATTCAGAACCAGGGATTTGGTGCTTCGTGCCGCGTGGGAAAAAAAAAAGAGATCTGCCTCAGCCAGCAGCGAGTTTATTTTGACCAGGACTATCCGGCAGAGACCCAAAAGAAGAGGAAAGCTTACGCTCCTATCAGAAAACTTCTGAAAGAAAAAGGTCTCCGCTTTCAAACCCCGCCGCCAGCTAAGCTCCGTGTGTTTTTTGACGGTGGCCCGATCACACATAGCAGCGTGGCGGACGCCATGAAGGACTTGCAGAAGAGGGGTCTCGCTCCCGATTGTAACAGCAATGATTGTTCACCCACGACAGCGCCGATGGAGAAACTGGACAGACTGTCCTGAGTAGTGGCGGACGCCAAACGACGGAACCCTGAAGCACATGGAGAGAGAGCAAGGAAAAAACTCAGCGGATTTCGTCATGAGGCTGGAGACGCGGCCGCTTCTCCAAGTTAAGCCCCGCTTGTTAAAATTCATGTGGTAAGATAAGCAATCACAGTGATCTGATCCAGTGTGTGGACTAAGAATTGAATATTTTCATAAGGAGACGATGTCACACATCATTATAATAATATCTCATTTAACCTTTGTTAATCCAAAAAAGTTCAATCTGGTCCTCTGGACATTCAAAAAAAACAAAAAACAAACAAACAAACCAAAGCAAAAAAATCTAGAAACGTTTCGTCTCTCATCCAAGAGACTTCCTCAGTCTGAGGTGCTGTATTCAGCTCAGTCTCTTAAATAGCACCTTCACAGAGTGGATCAACCAGTTTGCTGCTGACAACCAAAACCAGCTGATCACATGCTCAAGAAGGACCATCAGCCTAACAATGGATCATTAGCACACTGATGGCTGTTTACTACTCACAGAGGGCTGAGTGATACTAGCAATCACAGCATTGTAAGAGGGGGACAGTTGAACCCGGAGGCCTCCACCCCTGTTTAATGATGGACGATTTCTTTTCACAAAGATGGCCTCCTTTACTTCTCTCTCAAACCATCGTTCCTCTCTGTCCAGGATGTGAACATCTTCATCCTTGAAAGAGTGACCGCTGGCCTGGAGATGAGTGTAGACCGCAGAATCCTGGCCTGATGATGTTGATCTTCTGTGCTGGGCCATCCTTTTGTCCAGTGGCTGTTTAGTTTCCCCGATGTAAGACTGATCACAGCCCTCCTGACACTGAACAGCATACACAACATTACTCTGTTTGTGCCGGGGGACTGGATCTTTGGGATGAACCAGTCTTTGCCGTAATGTATTTTGGGGTTTAAAAGCCACTGGGACGTTATGTTTAGAAAATAAACGTCTCAGTTTCTCTGATACTCCCTCAACATACGGAATGACCACTGGTCTGGGTCTGGGTTCCTCCTTTTCACCTGTTGGCTGACTGGAGTCCTGTTTGGGTTTCTTCTCTGCTTTCAGGAAGGCCCAGTTAGGATATCCACATTGCTCTAGAGCCTGTTTTGTGTAGGATTTCTCCTTCTGCCTGGCTCCTGAGCTAGTGGGGATGCTGTCTGCTCTGTGGTACAGAGTCCTGATGACTCCTAACTTGTGCTCCAAAGGGTGATGGGAGTCAAACTGCAAATACTGGTCTGTGTGGGTGGGTTTGCGGTACACCTCGGTTTGAAAATGTCCTCTATCAGAGACTGAGACCTCACAGTCCAAGAAAGCCAACTTGCCATTTTTTACATCTTCTCGTGTGAACTTGATGTATTTATCCACAGAGTTGATGTGGTCAGTAAAATGTTGGACTTCCTGAGATTTAATTTTAACCCAGGTGTCGTCAACATACCTGAACCAATGACTTGGTGGTGTCCCTGAAAAGGACGTCAAGGCTCTCTTTTCTACCTCCTCCATGTACAGGTTGGCAACAATAGGAGAAACTGGAGACCCCATAGCACACCCATGTTTCTGCCTATAATATTGCTCCCCATATGTGAAGTAGGTTGACTGCAGGCACAGTTTCAAGAGTTGACACAGTTGTTCTGTGGAAAGTGTGGTCCTGCTGCTCAGAGTGGTGTCTGATTTTAATCTTAA